TGACCCAGGACTTATAAGTTCTATCTTTTGCGGCCCTTGAAAGAATACTAAACTAAAATCTGGCTGGGAAAATAAGGAAGAGGACGCATCAGTTTATTATATTTAAATTGTACTATTTTATGTTTTATTTCGGCTGTGAATGAATTACAGGAGACAACAATGTATGAGGATGATGGCTTTTAAGTTTCTTATCATACTTCCCTTTTAGAAGGCTGGGGCAAAATGGCATCTAGCATTAAAGTTGAGCGTGAATTTATATTTCCAACTGACTTTAGACCGTTAATTGATGCTATGAATTTAATGTCACTTACCCCAACTTTGTTGCAATGGCGAGTGATGCTGATGAGGAACAAGTGAAGTAAATGAATCACGCTAGTTGTGCCTTAGTTTGCTCTTTGCACTTTGATACTACTTTGTTCTTACGTTATTTTTGCTTTTATGTCTATTTTTGTTGGTTTACTTTGACTCTGCTTAAGTTGGGTTCTCTTGGAAACAACCTCTCTACTTCTAGAGACAGTTCCGAGTAAGGGGTAAGGTCTACTTTTCATGGGATCTGAACGGGTTTGTTGTTGTACATTATATTAGCTGTGCCAAGATGCAATGGTTATTAATATGAAAGATCTAATGTCTTAGTTTTTATTTGGTAGTTTTTAATCTAGAATATCTCATTTTCTTTGATGTTCATTTTATAGTTGGATTCTCTAATAACAATTATAGTATGCAGATGTGCTGTGGTCTTGCGTGACTTAATCATGCCATATCTCCTGCGGCGGATGAAGGCTGATGTAAACACTCAATTACCAAGGAAGACTGAACATGTCCTTTTCTGCAGCCTCACTTCAGCACAGCGATCAGTTTATCGATCTTTTCTCGCTAGTTCTGAGGTTGAACAGATATTTGATGGTAACAAAAACACGCTGTATGGGATTGATGTGATGCGTAAAATTTGTAACCATCCAGATCTTCTTGAGAGAGAAAGTTCATGTAATGATCCTGACTATGGTAACCCTGAACGCAGTGGGAAAATGAAAGTTGTTTCCGAAGTACTTAAGTTATGGAAAAATCAGGGTCATCGTGTACTTCTTTTTTCTCAGACACAACAGATGCTTGATATTCTTGAGAATTTTTTAGTCAC